GTATTTCTTAGCTGGGTGATCTTGGCCAGGAACCTAACTCTCTGATCCTGGAGTTTCTACCTATAAATTAAGCTAATAATAATGCCCTTTTTAGGCGGGTTTGGAGGACTGGATAGAAAATGGCGTTCACTTCCTCTTCTACCTCATTGCTTTGCTTTTTTTTTTTTTTTTTTGAGACAAAGTCCTCAGTCTGTCGCCAAGGCTGGAGTAGAGTGGTCTCGGCCTCCCAAAGTGCTGGGATTACAGGCTTGAGCCACCGCGCCCGGCCTAAAACTGCAGCTTTTGATATACGTGTGTATGCACATGAGTGCACGTGTATGTATTTTTCTGGTGACAGGGCCTAGGGCTTTCAACAAGGGATCTCAAAGGATCAGTTTCATGACCAAAATGTTAGGAAGTTATTTGTCTTGATCTGGGTGCTGGTCCTTAAGCACTTTTCTGTTTGCATATTATATGTCAATAAAAAGATGAAAAAATAGGCTGGGGCCAGGTGTGGTGGCTCACGCCTATAATCCCAGCACTTTGGGAGGCCAAGGCAGGCAGATCACCTGAGGTCAGGAGTTTGAGACCAGCCTGGCCAACATGGTGAAACCCCTTTTTTACAAAAAATACAAAAAAGTAGCTGGGCATAGTGGCACATGCCTGCAATCCCAGCTACTTGGGGGGCTGAGACAAGAGAATCGCTTGAACCTGGGAGGTGGAGGTTGCAGTGAGCTGAGATCATGTCACTGCACTCTAGCCTGGGCGACAGAGGGAGGCTCTGTCTCCAAAAAAAAAAAGGCCGGGCATGGTGACTCACACTTGTAATCCCAGCAACCTGAGAGGCCAAGGCGGGAGGATTGCTTGAGCCCAAGAGTTCAACACCAGCCTGGGCAACATGGCAAGACCCCCATCTCTGCAAAAATTTTCACACATGTGTAGTCCCAGCTATTTGGGAGGCTGAAGAGGGAGGATCATTGGAGCCCAGGCAGGAGTCTAATGTTGCAGTGAGATATGACTGTGCCGCTGCACTACTGCCTGGATGACAGAGGGAGACATCCTGTCTCAAAGAAAAGACGAAAATATAATTTTTAAAAATAGGTAAATAAATAAAAGATGAATGGTTACGAAGCAGCACAGCAGGACAGACAGCTCTCACAATAGCCCTACTCTTTCACACATCATTGACATGTCCCACTTTTTTTTTCTTGACCACAAGCCCGTGAAGGGCAGGGACTGTGCCATCTTTGAACCCCAGGGCCTGGAGCCAGGCTTTCATCCCCTAGCTGTCCCATCAGTACTTACTACAGATAAGGGCCACAGCCATCCGCAGCAGCTTGAACTGGCACTTCATTCCTGACCAGTTCTAGGGAAAAAGGAGAGAGTTCAGTCAGTTCCAGATTAGACCACTCTTCTGCCAGTGTGTCTTGCTTAAGAAAACCTGACATTAAAATAAGGATCTCCATGAAGTACTGAAAGAGAGAGAGGGCTGTGGCTTAGTAGCAGAACACACCACATGGCTTTGAGATTTAGGCAACAGCAAGTTTACTCCTGTCATAAAAGCTCTTGAGCTGGACTAACAGAGGAAGGGACTCCAGATCCCGGAAGAGGAGAGGCCCTGTCTCCTCAACATGGACAGAGAACATCTCAGAGCTGCATTCATTGCTGGGCTCCATGGTTGCAAAAGATGCAGGACAGCCAACCAAGCAAAGTCAAAGCAGAAACACCAGGATGATAAAAGAGCTCAACATCCTGCAGATGAGGAATGAATGGGGAAGCCAGGATCTTTTAGCTCAAACAAGAGGAGACTCAGGGGTCAAGTTCATTGTTGTCAAATATCGAATGAGTCAACACAAGGAAAGGGCACATTCGATTCAGTGTAACCTGCAAGCAGAAGATGCAATGGATGAAAACTTCAGAGAGAGACTTTGTAGCTCAGAGTAAGTTTCCATTTCTAGTAAGCAGAGCTCTCCAGAGATAGAATGGTCCATCTTGCAGGGGTCATGAGTTTCCCACCATCGGGGATTTCATGTCACTCGGAAAGGATGCTCCAGAGGCGAATCAGGTGCTGGAGAGGGGGTGACCTAGGTGGCCTTCAAACAACTCCCTCTCTCCCCTGAGAATCTCGGAAAACTTGGAACCTCCAAAGCAGATAAACAGTACAATTATTCACTTTACAAAAGGACTTTTCACTTTACAAAAGACTTCACCACAGGGTTCCTTTGAGAGGCACTCCTGCAGTGCATTCAAAGCACTATTCCATTTATACAGAGGTGCACGTGCACAGAAATAAGCCCGGAATCTTCCTGGAACACATAAGCCCCAGGGAAGGAGGGCACAACCAGGGGACTTTGGTTCCCTCCCACCACCCAATCTGCCTTTGCTGCCTGGCCCAGGCCCAGCTCGGGGACATGTCTGGCACTTCTGTGAGGTTGCAGGAACATCCGTGTAACTTTACAGAGGCCCTGAACACTGGCACGGACAACAACATCTATGAAAGCTTCAGTCAAGCAAGCAGGACACACAGCAGATGCCAAAGAGGGGGAAATCCTCATAGCCTTCAGTTCTCGCTCACCTCCTCCCTTCTCCCCATCCTTCCTCACTGACCGGCAACCCCTTCTTCACAGAAAGTGAAGTGTGGGCCACCCGCGGTCCCGCTTTAGGTGGAAAGCCTATCTTCGCTTGCCGACATGTTCTGTGCTAGGAAGCAGATGGCAGGATATCGTTGTCATCTGCTGGTGTCTGCCCACAGAGAAGCCTTGCCAGGAGACAAGGAACAAAACAGGAGTCGGTGCCCTCCCCTGGATCTAGCGACCCAATCTGAGCTGGCTCAGTTAGTGGATGGTGGGCACCGCAGCCTCCCTCCAAGCTGAAACCCTAGGATGGGAGGAAACTTGGGATTCATCTAATGGGACATCTCTTCCCAAAGGCGGACACCCACTGCCAAGCAGCCAACAAGATGGCCCTCCAGCCCACGTGAGGGGGTGCTCCCTGCCTCCTTGGGAGCCCTGGGAAGGGCTCTCACCCCTAACAGTTCTGCCTGCTATTGTTTGCCAGGCTTTCCTTCCCTATAATGTCCCCTCCATGGGTTTCAATTCTCCCTTAAAAGTGATACCCGGCTGGGCGCGGTGGCTCATGCCTGTAATCCCAGCACTTTGGGAGGCCGAGGCAGGTGGATCACTTGAGCCAGACTCTGTCTCAAAAAAAGTAATAATAATAATAAGTGATACCCATGTACATAGCAGCATTATTCACCATAGGCAAGACGTGGAAGCCACCCCAGTGTCCATGGATGGATGGATGGATAAATGAAATATACATACATATGTCTATATATTTGGTTTCTTTCCACCTCCTCCCTTCCCCCACTCTTCCTCACTGACCAGCAACCCCTTCTTCACAGAGGGTGAGGTGAGCCACCTGCCTTCCCTTTTTACGTGGAAAGTCTAATCTTCACTTGTTGACATGTTCCAAGCTACGAAGCAGATGGCAGGATAACGTTGTCACCTGCTGATATATACATACAATGGAATACAATTCAGCCTTAAAAAGGAAGGGAATTCTGAAATGTGTTAAACAAGTGGCTCATGCCTGTAATCCCAGCACTTTGGGAGGCCGAGGCAGGTGGATCACTTGAGTTCACCACAGGGTTCCTTTGAGAGGCACTCCTGCAGTGCATTCAAAGCACTATTCCATTTATACAGAGGTGCACATGCACAGAAATAAGCCCGGA